CTTCTCTCCTCCTCCTCCTCCTCCCCTCCTCCCTCTCCTCCTCCTCCTCCCCCCTCCTCCCCTCCTCCTCCCCCAACCCTTCGCCCCCCATCCCCTCATCCTCCCCCTCCCTCATCATCATCCTCCTCTTCCTCCTTCTCCTCCACCTCCTCCTCCTGCTCCTCCTCCGCCTCCTCCTTATCCTCCGCCTTCTCATGTTGCCTGCTGCCTACCTAAAGGGCGGTGCCCACATAGCGGAGCCCCTATATGAAAGTTCGGAGTGCCCCATCAGAGTTTGTCAATCACCGACTGGGCTGCGATCCACCCAGTCAGTGAGCCGCGACAGGGCCCCTTCCCAAAATCAGAAAAACGCAACTGGGGGGCGGGAGCTCCAGGCGTGGTTCAGGCTCGGGCCAGGCCTCGAAATCCCTCTGGAGTCTCCCCGCCTCCAGTGTTTTGAGGACTCTCTTCCCATGCTCCGAGATCTTCTCAAGGCAGGACTTAGAGCGCTCATTAAACATGGTAGGTGCATAGCTGCCACACCCACGACACCAGAAGACGCCACGAAACCTCTATAGGTGCTTGTGGGACGGGCGGATCCTAGCAGGGAGCCCCGGGCATTCCGAGCGGAGCCAGTCCTCCGCTGCCCCCGACGGGACCGCGAGGCATCTGGAGCACCTGAGGGCTTTGCCAGACCCGTCCACCAGACAATGGGAAGTGGTGGTGAAAAGCGTCGAGAGGGCCTCTAGCTTGGCAAGTCTCCTCCGCTTGCTCTCGCGCTTTCTGTCCTCAGCGCTGCTCGCGCCATAAATCTGGGCAGAGTTCGTGGCAATGTGGTGGGAGACCGTCAAAATATGCTCCTGGACTCTCCCATTGAGAGTGTCAAGCCGATGCACTTCAGTGATGGCCCAGCTGGGGGGTTGGGCCGCTCTGGCACCTTCCTCTGCAAGCTTGTCCGCAACAAGATTAGCCGCCCAAAACTCACAGCGTCTTAGGCGAACCAACACAGCAGCCGGAAGCGGACCCATGAAACTTGATTTTGACGGTACGCACACGACGCCCTACACACTCTTGCCAAAACAGGTCCCAAAACGTGGGGTTCTGAGCGCGGAGTAAGCGGGGGCCCGAGTTAATCCCACTGACCACAGAGTCACTGTCGCCGGCTAGAATGAAGTCTCCTTCCGTCAGTTAGGCGTTGCGATAGCACGCCCACAGCTCTGACAAGAGGACTGTCTGCCTGCAAGTGGGGAGGGGCCCCTAGGCCCACCCCAAAATCCCCCCCCGCCCCCCTAGGGAAAATAGCCGCCCCCCACCCGCACCTCCGAAGCCTGGGATCAGGGAGACGCGCAGGGAGGGGGCAGCTTTTCTACCCCCTGGATCTCCAGGCGCTGGACGTTAAAGGTCCAGGCCAGAGGGGCGAGGCCACAGAGCCAGAAGCACGATTCATTGTGGCGCCCCTCGCGCGCTTCGGCCCGGCGATCCCAGTGCACGCCCTTGTCGGGCAGCTCGGAATTGCAACGGCGCCCCAGATCTGGTGGAACAGAATCTCTTCACACTCTTGGCGTCTAGGGCACAACTGAAAACTCCTGTAGCTTCTAAACTGGGCGGAACGCAGCGGAGCAAGGCCTGGTCGGCATCTCCCTCGACCAAGCCCCCCCCCCTCCCCCTTCCGAGAGCGGGCCCTCCTCCTCCAAAGGGCCCCGCTCGGGGTCATCAAAAAAAGCGGGAGCCCGCGGGGGCCCAGGGTTGCCCCGAGACGAGGAGGCAGCCGCAGCAGCAGGGGCATCGGCAGCCGCAGGGGAACCGTCAGAGGGAGGAGGGACGCCACGGATGCTACCGCGGCGTTCGCTGCCAAAGCGCCTCGCAGATGGCCACGGGGCCCCCGTGGCCACCATGCGCAAAACCACTGCTGCACCATATTCCCCGCGACGGGCGAGGGGAAGCAAGCGCTGCTTCAAGACTGCGAACCGACAACGCCCTGGGCACCCTTACCACGCGGATGGGAACTGGCAGCACGGGCCCACTCGCGATCTAAAGCTTGCTTGATATGAACATTTACAGGGGCTCCCTGCCGAACTCTAGAACGTTAAGAACCTCGCCTCTGGGGGCCCTCCAATCAACGGGGCCAAGGGGTTCCCAGTGGAGGCCCATGAGACCGGCAACTACAGCTCCTACCAGGCCTTCTGACTCGGGCCAAGCGCCTGGCAGTTGCCTGCAGATGTGACCGCCCTGCTCCAGACGACCCCGATGGCTCGCATTCGCTCAGGCATGTGGGCTACAATCTCCAGTCAAGATGTGAAAAACTGCACTCCCCTGGACCATGGGGTCAGCTTTATCTTTCTTCAAAGCCCAGCCTATTGCAAATGGTTGGGCAGCCCCCTGGCCTCTTGCAACCAGTGAGGGCTGCAACCGAGCTCCGAAGATTTAAAATCGTGCTGGGACTGAGGCCTTGCGCCATCTGCCGCAAGTGACTGCTGGTCTGTACCCAGCCTTAGCCAGGGCGCGCGCACAGGGCACTGACCTGGCCAGTGCGGCAATTTGGACGGCCCGCTGTTAACCTTTCTCAATGCGGCCCTCGATGACTGAAGTTGCACGTCTGACCGCGCGGCCATCGACGCCCAGATCCCTGGCCTGCCCAGGGAATTTTAGCGGCACGCCAGCGGCAGCAATTGCATGCGAGATCTCTCTGGCAAGGCGAGGCGGATACGTGACCAACACAGACTTGCAAGAAACTTCGAAGCCAGTTTTGTTGAGTCTGGCGACCAACGAGATCGCCACCGCCTTAGCGCGAGAAACAACGTCGGCCCCCCGACCGATCTCCGCCCGCCTCAGGCCATCCACCCACGCGGATAAGTCCGCCTAAAGTCCGCGCGCATCGACTTTCAAAACTTGCCAAGGGGAGAGCTCAGCTAGGTCCAAACTCTGGTTGCACCCAGCGACGAGGGGCCGATCTGGGCAGATTAGCTCGGAGACAACTCCATCGGCGCGGAGCCTCCTCAGGTCCCGGCGAACGGCCGGGCCGAGCGCTAGCACTGGAAGGGGATGGCCGACCCTCCTGGCCACGCTGGCCACCTGGAAAGGCCAAACGCGGTCATAGAATTTATCCGCGTCCCGCAGAATTTCGGCCCAAGAAAATCCCTGGGCCGTCGCGATCTCCAGTTTACATTGTCGAATGAGCGCCGCGCGGAACGATGGGCTGCCACTCACCACCTTGCCCCAGTGCTGGGACCGCTGAGCACTCCAGTCAGCAATGTCCAACCTCCGAGCCCTCCCCCACGTCCGATGCAATCCCTGCGCGAGGGTGATGGGCCGATCTGCCACCTGACTTCTGCGAATAAACAGGACGATGTTTAGGAACACTTGGGGTGACCAGGACCCTACTGCTTCGATTATCCGGAGAACGTCTAGAAGGTCCTCCAGACCTTCATTGGGAGGCCTGCGCCACCAGTTCGGGTTCTGCCGATCACCCCCGACTCCTACTACTCCTTTGAAAAGGCTTAAGGGCATCAGAGAGCTGCTGCATGGCGAGGCCCTCAAGGGGCCCCATGCTGCCCTCCAAAGCGAACTCCCCCCACCAGCCCTCGGGTCCCTCAAAATCCTGCGAGCCCTGCAGGGCTTCCCAAAAGTTGGCCCTCTGGTCGGCGGCCTCTACGGGGCCCCGAATGGCGTTACCATCGGGGCTCCTCTCAGGAGCAAGATCGGGCGTCTCTGCACCCCATGTCTTGGTCCAAGCACGCAGCGCGCCTGCGCCTTTGGAAAGCGACAGTCGGATCCCGCCCTTGAAACTTGCATGGCTGGTGCGCAAAAAAATGGAACTCAATAGTTTCGACCGCCCTGCCGAGATGCTTGACCTCCTTATTGCAGCGCTGTACCTTCTTGAACGTAACAATGTGACTGACTATGCGCAAGCCGCGCTCCTCCCTCTCGCGAGGCAGGAGGCGCGGCACAGACCAGACTGTGCTGAGGCAGGCACCTACCATTTTCCAAGCGTGCTCGATCTCCGCTGGATCCTTCAGCTTCTCCCGAAGGTGTAGCCAGTCAGCCACTCGCGCATAGAGAGCGGCCCAAGCACTGAACCCATGATACTCCGCCTGCCAGCTGATCGCCGTCGCAGGGACGACGGGGGCCTCCACGGTCTGGACTGTCCATCCTCGACGACGTTCGCCACCGTCAAAGTCGATGTCGATGTCGCGATGGGCACATAAGCTCTCCACCGTCAATGCGCACGCCATGCACTGCTGGGCCAGGTCGAGCCATGGTTTGCCACTGCAGTGTCGGTGCGCATCCCCATCGTTCACGGTTGACCGGATCTTGGCTAGTTCTTCGGCAACCAACTGTTCAACTCGAATGGAATGCCACTCCCAAGGTAAGGCAGGCACAGGTATGCTCATGTCGATCGCGGGGCACGGGCCAATGACTCTCTTGGGCATATTGAATTCTCCGATCCTCAGTCTTACCCGCATGCCCGAATGCGGTGCTGGCCACGGTCCATCTTGATCCCGCGGTAAACCAACAAGGTCGTGCAATTCATGGCTGGTAAGACCGAAGTCACTGCGACGATGCCCTCCTGGAACTGCCTCTGCTGGGTCCTTCCAACCAGCACGCAGAAGACTTGGAGCCCAGACTGCTGCATCTCGGGAATTGTATTGCTCCAGTCTCCGACCATCACGAAAAGGCCGCCCTTGCACTTTGAGATCGCTGCCAGTTTTCTCTAAGATCTGGAAGTTGGAACCTGAGATGCCCAGGTGGGGCGCCAAGTTTATTGCAACGAATATGACAACATGGTCACCTTCCATGGGAGCACCTGCCGCTGGAACTGCCGCCGTTGGGGCCGCAACGGCTCCGCCGCCGCCCTAGGGCGTTCCTCCCCCTTCGGATGCCTGCGCAGGGGGAGCGGCAGGACCCGCACCCGCCGTTGGAGCCTGGGGCCCCAAAGCTGAGAAGGCTTCTCCCAAGGTGGCCTTGAACTGTCCGACGCCTTCCAGGAGCTGCGGATTCCCCTCCTCGGTTCCCTCAGACTTGGCCAGGCCTTCGGCGAACGTGGTGAGCAACTCCTGGATATTGGCGTCCGTCCCATGGAGTGCAGCCAGGACATGCGATGACGGGCTGCCCACTTGGGCCTTGGCTGCGTCTGCCTTGGCCTTATCGAGCTGTGCCTTGTTCTCCTCCATTTGTGCCTGGGTCTCGCAAACCGCCTGGAGGGCCCCCCTGGCGGCTTCGACCTGGCGCTCCTCCTTCCTCTGGAGTTCGACAAGCTTGTGCTGGAGCGCCGCGAGCTTGTCACATTGGCTCTGCGAGAGTCGCCCCGACAGCAGCTGGAAAGAGCTTTCGTCCAGGGCAATCCACTGAGCCTTCTCCTCATCCGAAAGGGGCTGCTGATCATGCCAACCTTGCTGGGCCCCTTGCCAGCCTTGCTGGGGCCTGCCTCCAGATTGCAAGCCTTTTCTGGATCCAGGGCGAGCGGAAGAACTTGCGCGGAGGCTGCTGGTAGCTCTACGGTGGGCCTCCCAGAGGCGGTGCCCCGAACTTCCATTGGCCTCGCACAAGGACGTGATCCTGTCCGCTAGGCTGCTTCCCGTTCGGGTTATAAGCCCCGCATCCGTGACATTTGGCGGGGCTGCCATTGTTCCACAAACTGCACGTGCGGCAACCCCAACCTGGCATCGTGTGGGAGAGAAGTGCGGCAATCATTGGGCCGCACCTCAATACAGTACCGAATTGAAGAAAGATATGAGGTCTGGTCTCGTATACTCTGGCGGGCAAACACCAAAAAGCTTGAGCCAAAACGGCTACGGACCTCCGACTTCTCCTCCTCCTTCTCCGCCTCCTCCTCATTTTCCCTCCCTCCCTCCCTCCCACCTTCCATCCCTCCCTCCTCCCTCCCTCCCTCCTCCCTCTTCCCTCCACCCTCCTCCCTCCTCCCTCCTCCCTATCCTCCTCCCTCCAGCTCCTCCCTCCTCGCTCCTCCCTCCTCCCTCCTCCCTCCTCCTCCCGCCTCCTCTTCCTCCTGCCTCCCCTTCCTCCCTCCGCCCTCCTCCTCCTACCTCTTCCTCCTCCCTCCTGCCTCCCCTCCTCCCTCCTCCTCCCTCCCCCCTCCCTCCTCCTCCTCCCCCCTCCTCCTCCCTCCCCCCTGTTTCCCTCCTCCCTCCTCCCTCCTCCCTCCTCCCTCCTCCCTCCTCCCTCCTCCCCTCCTCCCTCCCTCCTCCCTCCTCCCTCCTCCCTCCCTCCTCCCTCCTCCGTCCTACCTCCTCCCTTCTCCCTCCCCTCCTCCCTCCTCCTCCTCCTCCGCCCTCCGCCCTCCGCCCTCCGCCCTCCGCCTCCCTCCGCCCTCCGCCCTCCGCCATCCGACCTCCTCCTCCTCCTCTCTTCTTCTCCTCCCTCCTCCCTCCCCCCGTCCCTCTCTTCCTCCCTCCTCCCGCCTCCCTCCTCCCTCCTCCCTCCCCTCCTCCCTCCTCCCTCCTCCTTCCTCCCTCTTACCCCCCTCCTCCTCCTCACCCTCCTCCTCATGAGAGTTCGGGCGCAGCAGAACATAAGGTTTCACGAAGGCCGGGCCACATGCTCGGGAGTGCCTCGCTCTCTCTCTCTCTCTCTCTCTCTATATGTGGTTGCTTCTCTCTTTCTTTACTCTTTTTTTCTCTCTCTCTCTCTCTCTCTATATATATATACATATATATATATACATATATGTAAATGTGTTTGTGAATCTGTATACATATACACACAAACATGTAACATACATGTGTATCCGAACCTTTCGCTCTCCTCTCTGCCGCACCCTTGGGCTCCGGCTTTTCTCGGGACCGCGAGGCCCCCGGCGCCCGGCGGCCCCCCCAGGGGCGGCACTCGAGGGAGCCACAGAGGCCTGCGCCGCCACCGCGCGGGGCTGCCGCCGCCGGGCCCACGGCCGGGCAGGGCGGCCGTGCGCCCGCGGGCAGGGGGCGCCCGCGGCGCAGCGCGGGGAGCGCGGCGCGAGTGGGCGGCGCGGGCTCGGAGGGGCCAGCGAGCTGCGCGACGGGAGATCCCGCGCCAGCACTGGAGGCCTGGAGATGGGCACCAGCACCAACACAGAGGCTTGCCTCCACAGGGGGGGAGCACAGGATCCCAGGTTTCGGTGTCGGTGGCCATCTCTGTCGGTCGCCTTGGGAGGCAAAATACTACCACCGCCACCGAGGTCGGGATCTTCGCCCCTCGGTGGAGGCACACCGCTGATGTTGGTGTGGGTGTCAACCTGTAGGCCTGCGAGCATGACCCTGCCCCGTGGTCATGGGCGCAGCGGCAGCGGCGGGCATGGGGCACTGGCTTTCGCGGACGGAGGGGCAGCAACGGCAGCGGTCCCGCCGGCCTGGGGCCACTGGCTGACAGGAGGGGGCGAGGAGGAGGCGGAGAGTGTTGCCGAGCTGCTCGCCTTACCCCATCGGCCGAGTGGGAGGTCAGAGGTGGTGCCGCGGGGGATCACGACGCCGGAGGAGGCGAGGATCCCCAGGAGACGCTCAGTGGCCGAGGAAGGCCAGGCGCGGGCAAAGGTAGGACCGCGCCCAAGCCGCCGCCCGTAAAGCCAGTGGGTGGCAAGGGAAGGACGAGCCCGCTACCGCAGACACGATAGGGTGAGGAGCCTGATGTCGTGTCGAGCGAGTGACCTGAGAGCGAGGAGGAGGTGGAGGATGGTAGCTGGTTCACCAGACGCCGAGGGGCACCGCCTCCGACAGCCGCGGGTGAGACCAACGAGGGCGGCGAGGAAGGATGGTGGGGCCTCAAGCACCTGCACCTCACCGTTGTCAGGTCGTGGTTTGGCACGAGTTCGAGGTTCTGGGCTGGCAGCAGGTCAGGTTGGGCGGAGGTGATCTACTCGGGGGTAGCACTGCGACCGCGGGATATGTCGCCTTTAGGGAGCACTGGCCCATCGCGTCCGGCTTGGTCTGCGCGTCACTGGGAGTCGTCATCGTCATCGGCATGGGGTATGGGCTGCACTGCATCGCCACCGCCCCAGAGACTGCCTGGTGGCAAAGCCGTTGAGGTTGGTGCTGGCACCGCTGGTGTGGCTCCTCGGGTACTGCCCTGTGCCACAGCCACCCCGCGCAGGAGGAGAAGGAGGTGGAGATGGAATCGTTCCCGAGCTTCGCGGCCCAGGCACGGCCCTCCCCGTCGACAACGCTTTGCATGCTCGAGTGCGGGCTCGGGGCGCGAAGGGCAGGCTCACCACCTAATCATCACGGTGGGCGACACGGCAACACGATTGGAGCGACCAGCCCTCAACTCGGGGATGCAGCCCAAGCAGTCGGGCTGCACCTGGCAGTACACGATTCTCGGGTCGACTTCCAGGAGGTTGGGGACGCTCCTGGAGGAATCTCAGGACAAGACGCTGCATCGGTGCCGGGAGGTCCCTTGCACGGACGGAGGCAAGTGCGCGGTGCTCGTGCCCTCCTTCGGCTACGTGACGGACGAGGTGGATGCCAGCTTGGAGGCTGTGGTCGGGGCATCCCCACGTGCCAGGCTGCCCGGGCGGTGGGAGCCCGTGCATGGGCCTGCAGTCGCAGATGTGGTGCCGTCGGCCTTAGGGGCTGCGCCAAGCCGTGCAGGGTTTTCAAGCACTGCGGGCGGACGGGACGCCGTTCGAGGAGAGCTGCGTCGGACCCCTCGGCGGAGTTGCTGAGGGACACGAATTCAGAGTCTGAGTCCGAGCCCAAGGATGCCAAGTGCGTGGCTCACGACGTACTCTACCAGGAGGGAGACAAGATCTTCCGTCTGAGCAAGGAGAAATGCCGAGACAGGGCCTGGGGCAACGCGGCGCAGCTGCTGCGAGGAGACGGGGAGAGGTCGAACATCCGCGGGGGAGTTTGCGCGGTGAACCTCTGCTGGCAGCACGGCAACATGCACCAGGCGAAGCGGGGCGTCAAGGAGTGCGCCCGTGTCGGGTGCGCGCACTTGGGCCCAGCCAGTGCTAAGGGACGGAGCCCTGCTCAATCCCATACCACGGCGACGTCGGTGTGGCGGCCCCAGCGGACGCCCCACGCGCGGTTGTCCAACGAGTCCCCGAGGGGCGCCCAGGACCTGCGAGGAGGAGCCAGGAGGAGCCCGAGTCGGGCCTCACCGCCGGCAGAAAGGGACGGCGGGCGGCAGCAGCGTCGGCGCTCTCAGACACACCCTGGGCCTTCGCAGTGCGGCGAGGCTCGAGGATGCTGGGCCGGCGGTGCTGCACACGGAGTGTAGCAAGGCCCGTGCAACGGTTCATTTCCATTGAAGGAACTGCCTCTTTGAAAGACAACCGTTTGAAGACCCTGAAGCATGCCAAGACATTGTTCTCGGGATTCCAACGCCATGGATCAACCTGACCGTTGCGCCTTGACAATCCTGAATCGCGCCAGAACGCCATTCCTGGAACTTCAGCACAGCGAATCAACACAACTGTTGCACCCGCATAATCCTGAATCCCTTCAAAACAATGGTTTCTGGCACGTTGATCATGGGTCCGTGAAACTCTTGCAAATGATTACAACGAATGTGCGCCGCGAGAAGGCAAGAGCCACATGTTGACAAGGAGCCGCCCCAATTCCGTGAAATTCTTGCAAATGTGTAAAAACGAATGTGCGCCGCGCTAAGGCGAGAGCCACATGTTGAAAAGCAACCGCCCTCAATCCGTGAAGCTATTGCAGAATTTCTAAACGAATGTACGCCGCGCTAAAGCGAGAGCCACATGTTGAAAACGAACCGCCCTCAATCCGTAAAACTGTTTGCAACTGTTTTAAAAGATGGGCGCCGCGCTAGGGCGAGAGCCACATTTTGAAAACAACCCGCCCTCAATCCGTGAAACTCTTTGCAATGTTTAACATGGATGTGCGCCGCGCCAAGACGAAAGCCACATCTTGAAAACGACCCGCCCTCCATCTGTGCAACTGTTGTCATGTTTGTAGAGTGTCAGAATCCTGAGTTGTGAGGAGGCCTCAAGCGAAACGCCAGGCCCGCCCTAAAACTGGCTTCGGGGAGCGACAGGGAAAAGTTATTTATAAGGAAGGAAAAGGAATTGAGGAGGAGGAGGAGGAGGAGGAGGAGGGGGAGGAAGGAGGAGGAGGAGGAGGAGGAGGAGGAGGAGGAGGAGGAGGAGGAGGGGAGGAGGAGGAGGATGGGGAGGAGGAGAAGGAGGAGGAGGAGGAGGAGGAGGAGGAGGAGAAGGAGCCTGGCGTGAGACCTACCCAGGGCGGACCGTGGCTAGAGGCGCTTGATCGGGAGGCATTGCCGTCCCCCCGCGCGCTGTGCGAACCTCTGCCCGAGCCGATGCGGGAGCGAGCACGTTTACCCGACCAGGGTCAGGAGGAGGACCCCCCGTTGGACGAGTGCGTGGCCCCGACGCCATCGAGAGCGAGATCTGGAGAACCCGACTGGGAACCCAACGCGGTCGACGAGGGGGTCTACGACGCTTCCGACACGGAGGTAGCGGAAGAGGCGGCCCAGGGTAGAGACGCGAACCCTGGACGAAAAGAGGAGGAGGCTGAGGAATGCAATAGAGGCCCGGAGGCCTCAGCCAGGGTAAAGCTGGAGGCGCTGAGGAGGTCTATCGGCGGGTTTGGCCCAGAGGGGGCCGCGGCGTTGGTAGCCTTGCGGAGCAGGCAAGGCCAGGAGGCTACGAAGGCACCGGGCTCCCGTGACCTGCCGGACGTCCCGATCAACCCAGATGCGGTCAGCGAATTCCTGAGGGCAGCGGGCAGCCAGCAGTGGAGGTTTGGCCTGGCCGAGCACATCCAGAGGACGGCAAGGGATTCTAGGCGAGACAGGGCGGCTGGACAGGCTAAGTACGTCGACGAGCTGAAAGGCGTGGGCCAACAAGCGGTGCTGGCGTGAGTGACCAAGGGCGCTAAAGGCAGCCACAACGCCGCCTGGCAGCAGTGGATCGTTGTCTGTCGTATCCGCGGGGAGAGCCGCATCTTGGACGGCCAAACCAGGGAGGAGAAATGCAAGGAGGAGGAGGAGGAGGAGGAGGAGGAGGAGGAGACGAAGGAGACGAAGGAGGAGGAGGAGGAGGAGGAGGAGCAGGAGGAGGAGGAGGAGAGGAGGAGGAGGAGGAGGAGGAGGAGGAGGAGCAGCTGCTGCTCTTCGTGGCGCATATATGGAATTTCCTCCACCGCCCGCATGGCACGATCCGCACGAAGTTGCCAGGAGTCAGGGCCCAGCATTTGTTAGAGGTCAAAAAATCCATCCCACTAATAACCACCCCAACACGCGAAGTCATTTAGCAAACGCGCCAAAAGAAGGAATCGAACAGGGCAGGGCTGTTTAGTAAAAGGCCCAGGGCCGTTTAGTAAACGCCAATTGTCCGGTCCGGGTGGTTTTCCTCCCTTGAAACACAGTGCGCGCCCACCCGATCAGCGGGTGGGCATGTGATGATTGCGCCCCTCCCACGCTTCGGGAGGGGCGTGTACGTTCTGCGCGGCATCGGCCACGAAAGCATCGCGCCGCAGCATGACTTGGATACCCCTCCCGGGGTTTTCCGCTGACCCCGGCTCCTGCTACGCCAGGAGAGGTCGGACGCAGCAGATCGGGAGGCGCCACGAAGGCTGGGCCACGTGCTGGGGAGTGCCTCTATCTCTCGCGCTCCCTCTCTTTCTCTCTTGTTCCTATCTCTGTCTCTCTCTCTCTCTCTCTTTCCCTCTTGTTTCTCGCGTGCTTCTCTCTCTCTCTCTCTCTCGCTCATTCTCTCTTTCGCTCCCCGCCCTGCCGCCCATGCTGGGGCCCATATGCTCTTCCTCCAGGCCCTGCCCTCCCGCAGCCTCAGAAAGGGCCTCGGAGAAAACCGACGGCAACGGAGAGCTGCCACGGCGGGCCCCAGAGGGCCGCCGTCGAGCGGCACCGTGCGCTCCCACCCGATCCAGCGGGCGGGCCCGCAGATGGACAAAAAAGTGGAACCATTGGCTCCTCCTCCTCCTTCCTCCCCCTCCTCCTCCTCGTCCTCCTCCTCCTCCTCCTCCTCATGCTCCCCCTCCTCCTCCTCCTCCTCCTCCTCCTGTCAGAGCCTAGCTTTGAGTTGGGGGGAGGGGGGGGCGCACATGGCGTCGACGACGACGGGTTTCCACTTCTTTCTCCCCTTACCGGCACGTGATGACTGCGACCCTCACTTGGAGGTCTGGAAACGGGCACCAACACCAACACAGGGGGCTGCCTCCACAGGGGGAAGATGATCCTAGATGTCGGTGCTGGTGGTAATCTATGTCGGCCACCTTGGAGGCCAGAATTGTTACCACCATCACCGAGGTCGGGGTCTTCTTCCCTCGGTGGAGGCACACCGCCGATATTGGTGTTGGTGTCAACGGGCGTTGCGTGTGCGTTCTGCGCGGCATCGGCCACGAAAGCATCGCATCATAATGTGTCGTGCATGCCCCTCTCGGGTATTCTGCTGTCCCGGGCTCTTGTTAAACCCCCTCGTGCTCCTCCTCCTCCTCCTCCTCCTCCTCCTCCTGCTCCTCCTCCTCCTCCTCCTCCTCCTCCTCCTTCCTCCTCATCATCATCATCATCATCATCTCATCATCATCATCATCATCATCATCATCATCATCTCATCATCATCATCATCATCATCATCATTCATCCTCCTCCTCCTCCTCCTCCTCCTCCTCCTCCTCCTCCTCCTCCTCCTCCTCCTCCTCCCCCTCCCCCTCCCCCTCCCATTCCCTCTCCCCCTCCCCCTCCTCCTCCGCCCTCTCCTCCGCCTCCTCATCCTCCCTCCATCGCCTGCCCCATGTCCCCAGCCTGTGACAGGGTCATCAGCTCGTCGTTATCGTAGTCGTCGTGGTCGTCGTCGTCGTCCTTCTGGGTCGGCGGCACAGGCCGTTAAGCTGTCATAATAACTAGTTGGCCATCCTGTCAGGGTGCCTTACGGTATAATAGAAAGCAGTCCCTCGAGACGCGCCCCGTGTGCTCCGAGAACCAACTGGTCCACTGGCGCGCGGAAGTGTTGAGCCGCGCGTCCGTGCGTCTGCAACGAGGGGGGGGGAGGCGACGGCGAGACACAGGAGGAAGCGAAGAGGACAAGAGGCAGCAAACTTTGCGCGGCGACCCTGCGAATTGCCACGGGCAGCGCTGCTAGCCAAAACGCCAGGACAGCGGAGCCAATGCGGGGGAACGGAGCTTGAGCGGTGGCAAGGCGGACCTGCAGTGGTGCATGCTTGTGAGCGTCGCGACTGCTGGTCAAGGAGTTACCGTCAGGCGCTGGCATGCGAGTCATATGCCCAGCTGACACCGCCTAACTTCTCCGAACTACAAGCGAGGTCAAGGAGTTTCCGTCAGGTGCTGGCCTGCGAAACTCATGCCCCGCTGACACCGCATAACTTCTCCGAACTACAAGCGAGGATGGCCAGACATCTGGCAAGAGATAGCAGACACGCGATACTTAACAGATAGCTGCAGCGATCTGCGGGATAGCGGCCTGATCCATTTAAAAGACAACCGTACACCCCCAACCACTCGCCTGCCAGTCGCTCTCCATACACCAACGGGTCCCTTAGTCAACGCCATCATGGAGCCTGCTGGTCACAGATGAGCTGGGCTACACAGGAGCTGTAGCCGTGACCACACAGCTGAACAAGCACACAATTTCTACTGCCAACGTGGAGAGAAGAAACTGAGGTGCGTAAGTCGCAGAGTTCTTGGATCCTGGTTCCTGGGTTCCTGGGCTCCCCGGGGGCGAAGAGGCGGGGACAGAAGGCCCAAAGGCGGCAGCTGGTGCTGCCTCGGGCAACGCTGCCAGCCGAAACGCCAGAAGAGCGGAGAAAATGCAGAGGCGCCGACCTTGAGCGTCAGCAAGCCGGACCTGCAGTGCTACTTGCTTTTCAGCGTCGCGCTGCTGGTCAGGGAGGTTATGTTCAGGAAGACGGACCACGTTATGCTACTCATGAGGTGCACGCGGGTACACTATGAAAAGGCTGGGAAGGGCACCTAAGAGCACGGATCTGGATGCTTGAAATTCGGCCATGCACATCCCACAAGTTCTTCTCTTAGGACTCCTACTTAATGGCCTCAAGACAACGAGATCCTGCTATCGCACTATCGCGTTCTACTCATGGCAGCCTCGCCGATGCACCTGGGGACCGTGGGGCATGCCCAATAGACTTGGGCCGTCCTCCATCCAGCCATCGCTCGAGACACGGCCAACGGGAACCACGCGCTTCACGACACGCTTCATCTTGATGTCCGCAGCCCTCCGCGGGAGCAGCGCTGCCTTCGCGTGGGAGAGCAGCAGCGTGCCGCTGAGCCTCCGCTTTTGCCGCGGGCAGTTCAGGTCGACGGCCACCGTCTCGCCGGGGACCAGCATCCGCACTATCTTCATGGCCTCTTTCCAGCAGTCCCTCTCGGAGCGGATGCTCTCCCGCGCGCACCAGGCCAGGGGCTGATCCTCGGGGATGCACGGCATGTTCTTGCCCTCTAGGATGCGGACGCCCCGCGGGGACCACTGGTCTATGGAGACGCCGATGAAGTGCGAGACCGAGCTGCGCACCACCGAGCCAAGCGCGTAGCTGCTGAGTATGTCTCTGATGGCCATCTGCACGTCGTGCCGTGAGGCGCCGTGCGGCCAATCCGCCGGGGGGGCGCGGTGCCGCACGTCGGCGGCACAGCCGCTCGTGCTGGGCACGCCCTCAGCAGGAAGCGTCGCCGGACCCGACGCCCTCCCGACGTCACCAGCTCGGGCCAGGCCTGGCTCCGAAGCCACCACGTCGTCGAAGCCTGCTTCCCGCACGGCCGTCTGAGAGCGCAGTCCCGCCGAGCACATCCTCAAGTCCAGCCGAGCCCAGCCCATCCTGATCTCGGAGGGCGTCGGCTACTTGGCCCGATTCCTGTTCAAGACCTCCAGCCAAAATGGCTGCGGAGGGAGCTCCAGTGGAGGTTTGTCCACTGCGCTGTGCGTGTATGTTCGATACGTCGGCGTCGGGGACCTGCGACGCATGAGGCAGGCGGGCCGCTTCTGCATAGGAGTCGCGCTCCTCCTTGTCCTCCTGCCCCCACTCCTACACCTGCTGCTGCTCCATCACCTCATCCCTCAAGGCTTGCGCCTTCGTGACCGTGTCGACCCTTCCCATGGCCCCGTGCAGGGGCAATTTCTATACCAAGACGGCAGGGACGTGAGAAACAGAATGGACGCCAGCCTGGTGCGCCGCTTGAAGGCGAATACGCAGCCATCGCGCGGGAGGCATGAACAAGTAGGAAGGAGGATACAGTTTGAAACAGTGTGGCCATCATATTGCCCGCTGTGCGCAAGCCCACCATACCTGTCAAAAACCATGCAAGGAGATTGCGGGCGCACACACACACACACACACACACACACACACACACACACACACACACACACACACACACACACACACACACACACACACACACACACACACACACACACACACACACACACACACACACACACACACACACACACACACACACACACACACACACACACACACACACACACACACACACACACACACACACACAAACACACACACATACACACACACACACACACATACACACACACACACACAGACACGCACGCGCGCGCACACACACACACACACACACTCACACACACACACACACTCGCCCACACACTCTCCCGTCGGTTGCACGCAGCTGGGGCAGAAAGCCACGCGAGCGCTCGGGAGTCACGCCCAACGCATGTACCGCTGGGCTAAGCGAGGCACCCAAGGACACCCTGGGAGCCGAAAGTGAAGAAGACTGGAAGGCACAAGTCCCTCACGAGGCAGCGGCAGGGCGGGGCAGCGCGGCGGCGGAGGCAACTGGCGGCGCCGGCAGGGGTCTGGAGGCGAGCGGGGCCAGCCAGGGGGCGCGGCCAGCGGGGGGTGCGGCCAGCAGCAGGCGGCGGCGAGCGACGCCCAGGGGAGGGGGCGGAGCTGAAGAGGGTCTGCGAGCTGGCGAGCGACCCAAACATGGAGTCGCCATCCACGTGGTGGGCCGACAGCCTGTGCATCGCGGAGCGTGAAAGCGAGTCAGCGGGTGAGCGACGCCAGACAGGCGTGGGCACCCCGTGGCAGCAAGTGGCGGATATGTGCGTACCGCTGTCACAGCGGGGCCCTCCGGATCCTACCTTTTCGAACATTCGCTCTCGTCCTCCCGTCCGATTTCCATATTCCCCCCCCCCTATTCTCCTGGGGGTCGACGACTCCTCGTGTCCGTGTGCTGCTGTTCCCCTCCTGACCCATTGCCCCCCCCAGATCCCATCCTTTTTCGCATCTTCGCCTATGGACCTCGGCGGCGGCACCGCCCTTCGGCCGCGAGGCGCCCGCTGCGCCTCGGGGCGCCGGAGGTGCCCTGGACGAGAAATAACAATTTGCCCCCCCCAAAACAAAACAGAAAACAAAAAAACATCCAAACATTGGAAGTGATAACAGAAAATCAAACAAATAATCGAAACATGCTCAAACAGTCAAACAAGTTGGAAGCGACGAAAAATAGAATCAAACAGTTGTCCCCAGGCGATGTTCTTAGACTATGTCTGCATGCTCCTCCTGTGTATGGGGCGCGCCCGACCTTTTCAGGCCGCCGAGGGCGGGCGGGGCCGCGGACGGCCAGGCGGCCGCAGGCGGCGGACAACGGGCACGCGCCCTGTGGTGTTCCAGCCGCGAGAGCCGACCAGCCACAGCGGGGGGGGCTGTCGATCTCCTCCTCCTCCTCCTCCTCCTCCTCCGCCTCCTCCTCCTCCTCCTCATCCTCCTCATCCTCCTCATCCTCCTCAGGGGAATCCATCGCATCGGAGATCTCTCGAGAGGGGTGTCGAGGTCGATGGGTCCCCCAGGGGGGGCAAGGACCGCGGCTCCCCCAGCTGCGGCTGGCCTGGGAAGTGCCGCGTCAGGGAGGTTTAAGGTTCTTGTTGCTTGTCGGGCCTTGGGGAGGCGATACTCGTTCGACACTGTCTCGATATTTTTCTGGGTGCTCGAAATTATTTGTTCGACGTGGTCCTCAAGCACGATGGGAAGAACATAACATAAACCCCCCCCCGGCCCGGCGCGGATCCGACTGGTTTGCAACCAGCCAGCATCCTGAGGGGCACCCTTGGGGGCGGGCGGGGACCTCGTCAGAGTTCTCCGCCGCGCCCCGAGGAGGCCCGACAAGGACGGCGTCGTGCCCACGGGGCCCCAACGGCGCGAATCGCAAACCACACCCTGGCGTAACCATAACCCTTTGTAGTCGCGGAGCGAGAGCGCCCGCGGGCCATGGGCTCCTCGGCCGCCGCCTGGCCCAGACTGCGAGGCGGAGACATCGGGGCCTCAACTGGCGGAAGACAAAACTGCACAAACAGAAGCTGTTGACGGTCTGCGCTGATGTCGGGGGTCCAGCGCAGATCCAGGAAATCCGCTCGGACCGTCAACAGTTTATGTTTATTCCGCCTTGTCTTCTCCGATCAGCATCGAACGGCCAGGAAGTTTGGCTCAGCGTCTCGCGGCGGCGGCCCCGGCGACACGCTGTGTCGCTCCGCACCGCAGGACAGGAGGCTGGGGAGAATTTCGGGACGTTGGCGCCT